GGACCACTCCTCCTCTGAGAAATACACAGCCACCTCCTCAAAGGGCAGAAGACCCTCCTGAAAGAAAGAAAAAAAGTACAGAACAGATTGCAGGATCTTTCCTGTTGTTTAGAAATTTCCGAAGCCAAAGCTATGCACTAAGGCTATGCTTAGTAAGAATTAATGGTTCAGATGAGAAAATGAACAGAAGACAAAGCATTTGACTAAAGAGGCAGGTTTTATCAACTTGAATGATTCTATAGGTCTTTTAGTGCTATTACGTTAACTAAACCCAGTTTCCTTCTGGATCAATTGATCTAACAAAAATCCATCTATCCAACCAGCCAACCATCATCAAAATACTCTTCCTTCTTGATCAATTCATCCATCCACAATTAAAAGACAGTGTCTTGAGAGAATCAATTGGCAGATGAACCTTGGAAAACCCACCACTAAGTGATACTAACCCTTCCTGGGTTTAAAGAAGGAAATGTGTCTGTAGGGGAAAGGATTCTTTCAGTTGTGGCGTTCGGAAAAGACTGAGCTGAAGTCTTCACTCCGGTCCGTGTTTCCAGCGGGAACACGGACTGTTCCTATTGACTGATGCCGTTTGACAGCCGGCTATAAAAGGGAGTTGTCAAATGGCATCAGCTGTTGTCCGCCAGCTGGCTGCCTTGTTACCGTGGCAGCCGCAGCAACCCTTTATTGTTACAATAAAGTAAAAGCTGAAGTTCGCTCCGTGTTCGCCTCAGGTTATTCCGCCACTCCACAACACTGGCAACGAGGGCGGGATACATATAAGAGGCAACCGAGCAAAGATTCGTTAAGTGAAGTCACTAAAAAAAGAGCCGAAGTCACTTCTGAGCTGAATGTCACTTTAAGAGCTTACTGTCACGATTCACGAGCGCGAATTTCAACTTTCCTCGGAAGATCCGGCACTGCTGCGTCGTGATGACTTCGAACCCTGCATTCCCGCCTTTCAGACCAACAGCAGAAACATGGGAATCCTACAGAAACCGATTTGACTGTTTCCTAGATGCCATAGACCTCGCTGACATTTCCGACCATAGGAAAAAGTCCTACTTTTTAAGTTTTTGCGGAGCCACAGTGTTTGACACTGCTACGGCATTATTGGCTCCATGTTCAATTAAGACAGTTCCATGGGAAGAATTGCAGGAAATTCTTTCCAACCACTATTCCCCTAAGCCATCCCGAATTGCCAGGCGTCATGCTTTTAGGAGACAGATTCAGGCTGAGGGAGAGACTATTAGTGGGTACATGGCTGCCCTACGAACAGCTGCCTTGCATTGTGGGTTTAGAGACTATCTGGAAGACATGTTATTAGACCAACTAGTTTGTGGAATCAGGGATTTAAGGCTACAAAGGCGTCTATTGGCTAAAGGGGATTTAACCCTTAAATTAGCAATTGAAGAGTCTCAAGCTGCTGAGCTATCAGAACTTTCAGCAGCAGAAATTCAGGGAAATCCAATTAGCCAGAGCAGCTCAGCCATCCATTACGATGAAGCCTCCACAGAAGAAGGCTATGAAGAGGCTAATGATGTAAATCGCCCCAGGCAGCAAAAAACCAGTCAAAGGGAAAACAGGCCAAACCCCAATCTACCTCCACAGCCTCAGCCCATTTGTCTAAGCTGTGGGAAAAACCACCTCAGGGCATCCTGCAAGTTCAGGAATGCCATTTGTCTAAAATGCCAGAGGAAGGGTCATTTAGCCAGGATCTGTCAAGCAGGAAAGACTTTTGCCCAAAAGCCTCAGACAATCCAACATTTCCAAAAACAAGTTGAAGACTGTTTTACCTGCTATCAAGCCAAGCTGACTAACAAAGGCTCTAACAATATCAGTGTTTTTGTTTCTATAGAAGGAAAACCTTACAGGATGGAGGTTGACACAGGCTCAGCACCGTCCATCATCTCATGGAGCACCTTGAAACAACTACTTCCCAGAATGGCTAAGAAGAAGCTTCATGGCTGCCAGTTAACCCTACGTGACTACCAAGGCAGAACCATCCCAGTCATCGGAAAAGGCAAGTTTTTTGTTCAATTTCAAAATTTTAAAGGTCACTTGCCTGTAGTGGTAGTGGATGGTGCCCTCCCTAGCCTGTTGGGGTTAGACTGGTTCCTTGCCCTTGGCCTCCATATAAGAGGAATCACTCTATTACAAATGCTGGACACCTTGTTTAATGACTATGCTGATGTGTTCAGCGAGGGGCTGGGCTGTTATTCAGGAACCCCAATATCTTTCAACTTGGACCTTCAGGCAGTACCAATCCATTTAAAGCCTCGAAGGGTACCTTTTGCAATCTGCCCCAAATTAGACATGGAGCTTGACAAATTAATTAAACAGGGTGTATTAGAGCCTGTGGACTTCGCAAAATGGGAAACCCCAATAGTGACACCCCTGAAGAAAGATGGTAGCGTAAGAATCTGTGCAGATTACAAGATGTCATTGAATAAATATTTACAAATCAGCGCTTATCCAGTCCCTGTTATTCAGCACCTACTACATTCTTTTGAGTCAGGAACCATTTTCGCGAAATTAGACATGTCACAGGCCTATCAACAGTTCCCTGTTGATGACACAGCCACTGAACTACAAACTATTGTAACACACAGGGGTGCTTTTAAATGTAGGCGCCTCCAATTTGGCGTAAGTGTGGCCCCAGGGATTTTCCAATCTTTAATGGAAAGACTTCTTCAAGGATTACCAGGTGTAATTCCGTATTTTGATGACATTTTAATATCTGTCCCTAACAAGTCTCAATTACTGCAAAGAGTCAGAGGAGTCCTCGATCGTTTCAGAAAGCATGGTCTTAAGCTAAAAAAAGAGAAGTGCACTATTGCCACCCCACAGGTAGAATTTTTGGGATACAGAATTGACGCCTCTGGTATTCACCCAATCGAATCCAAAGTAAGGGCTATTCACGAGGTACCCAGACCAACTAACAAAACTGAGCTCCAGGCCTTTTTAGGACTTCTTAACTTTTATGCTTCATTTTTGCCACATAAAGCTTCCGTTGCAGAGCCTCTGCACAGACTCTTGGATAAGCAATCCCTCTGGCACTGGGGACCTAAGGAAGCCCATGCTTTCCGTGCAGTCAAATCATTGCTCACATCTGATGCTGTTCTGATCCAATTAATGAGAATTTAGCTTTAGTTTTCGTAGCAGATGCTTCTCCTTTTGGCATAGGTGCCATTTTAAGTCATAGACTGCCTAATGGTTCTGAGGCACCCATTGCCTTTTTCTCCAGAACTTTTTCCCCAGTTGAGCGCAACTACGGCCAAATTGACAAGGAGGCTTTGGCTGCAGTTGCTTCTGTCAAAAAATTCCATGAGTTTCTATATGGACACTATTTCGAGTTGGTTACGGATCACAAGCCTCTGTTAGGCCTTCTATCAGGTGATAGACAAACTCCTCAGATTTTGTCTCCAAGGATGACTAGGTGGACTTTATTTCTGGCTGCCTATTCCTATACACTGGTTCATTGAGCTGGCAAGAGTCACTTCCCCCTGCCTGTTCCTGTGGAGGATCATGTACCAACTAATGCTGTTTTCCAGATCAATGATCTCAAACTTCCCATCACCACCCTTGATATCGCTGCCCACTCTGCCAGGGACAAGGTAATCGCCCAAGTTCTTGACTAGGTGGGAAGGGGGTGGCCTGCAATTCCTTATGCCCCCGAATTCGTGCGTTTCAAAACTCGCCAGCAAGAACTGTCTTCTTTGCAAGGCTGTTTACTTTAGGGAACGAGGGTAGTTATCCCTTCCAAGTTGCAAGCCTCAGTTTTAAAGGTCCTGCATGAAGGGCATCCCGGCATTGTCAGAATGAAGGCCCTGGCTCACAGTTATGTATGGTGGCCGGGCATGGATGCTCAGATTACAAGTTGGGTGAATGCTTGTCAGCCATGCCAAGTTACCAGACCTGCTCCACCCACATCCACTCCAGGCAGGTGGGAAGATTCTGGGACCCCTTGGTCCCGGGTGCATATTGATCTGGCTGGTCCCTTTCATGGGCGTACATTCCTGGTGATGGTTGATTCTTTTTCTAAATGGGTAGAACTGACCTTGATGACCACCACAACTTCAGAAGCAGTCACTAAGGCTCTATCAAGGATATTTGCTACGCATGGGCTCCCTGACACTATCGTGTCTGATAACGGCCACCAGTTTACTTCCTGTGAGTTTGAGGTCTTCCTAGCTAACCTGGGAATCAGGCACGCCCTTACAGCTCCTTTTCATCCTGCCAGTAATGGCCTGGCTGAAAGAGCAATCAGATCTGCTAAGGAGGTCCTGGAAAGGCTTGGCCCCATAGATTGGCACTCTAGGCTTGCTAAGTATCTTCTAACCCAGCATACGACTCCCTGTGCCACCACTAATAGGTCCCCGGCTGAACTTCTCATGGGTAGATGTCTGAGGACTATTTTAGACAGACTCCATCCATATTATGCCCCAGTCACGCCCCTAGGATCAAATAGCCAGGCAAGGGAGTTCGCTGAAAATGACCAGGTCTATGCCCGGAATTATGCGGGACACACTTTGTGGATGCCTGGGCAGATTGTGGCGGTAACCGGTCCTAAGTCTTACAGGGTCCAACTGCAAGATGGGTGCATCTGGCGCCGCCATATCGATCAACTTAGAAGTCGTTGGAGTTCGTCTACAGATGGCCCTCAAGACGTTCCTGCAACAGAGAAACCGCCGGTGCCCGAAGAAACTTCCCGCAAATCTGACAGGAATGCAAGCCTACCTGAGCAGCTATCTGTCCCTCGCCCAGAGATGCCTGAAGCCGAGACGCCAGCTTCGTCGGCACCAGAAGTTGCCCAACAAGCAGAAAAGTTCCTTCCAGCAACAGCTTCGTCACAACCTAGAAGATCTGGCCGCCTGCGCAAGCACCCGAGTTATCTGAAGGACTACGCATGCTCCGTTCTGGGGGAAAGGAGTGTGCGTTCGGAAAAGACTGAGCTGAAGTCTTCACTCCGGTCCGTGTTTCCAGCGGGAACACGGACCGTTCCTATTGGCTGATGCCGTTTGACAGCCGGCTATAAAAGGGAGCTATCAAACGGCATCAGCTGTTGTCTGCCAGCTGGTTACCTGGCATACCTATAATATGTATATCAGCTGATTTCCTGATGGAAAGGGAAAATACAAATCTTGTAAATGAATGTTCTTTTCTTACCTGAGTTGGAGGTTCAGTCTTAGTTTCCACTCCCTCAAGAGTCAAATTCCTTCTATTCTTCCCTGTGAGGGAGACAGAATTTCAAAAAGCATAATAAATAAAATGGGAGGAGGTATCTATAGAAGAGAAGACACAGAGAAGGTGAGAAAGTTGGGATTTATCAGAGGAGTGGAAGGATCTTATATTACCTCCTGAGGTGTCCTGATTTGGATCTTCCTGAGAGATCCCCCTGAAAAACAGTTCTTGCGAGAGATTTGATGGATGCCTCTTTCTCTCAGGATCCCTGATCTCCATTGCAAAAGACTTGAAATAGGAAAAAAGAATTAATGGACATCACACACATCATGAAGTGGTTTCTTTTCCTGTGAACATCACTGAAAAACACGCAGTGCCAATCAATTAGGATGGGAAGTAAGAAAGAAATGGCTGTGCAAAATCTTTCTTCTAGAATGGATAAGGGAACTGTACAAAGATTATTGAAGCTTCTCCACATAGCATGAATGCCACGAAACTCTGCTAAGAAGGCATCAAAATTTGAATACATTGATCCAACGGAAAAGATTTTTGTGTATAAGAGTTTAAAATTTTAAATTTGAATTAAATTATAATTTAAAAGACATTTTTTATAAAACGATGTATCCTTCTACTTAATACCTGATAAACTGCCAAAGAAGTATAAACGAATTTCAAATACATGTTTGAAATGTAAATATAAAAAAGGAACTTTTTACCAACTCTATTGGACTTGTGACAAAGCAAAGAAATACTGAAGTAAGATTTATATTTTAATGCAGAAGATTCTCAAAGTGGGTATGAAAATAAGAGATTTTTCTTTTAGGTGTAATAGACAAAGAGATTGAAAAACAATCTCGAACTTTGCTGTTATATATGTTGAGAGCAGCAAGGATGCTCTTTGCACAAAAGCGGACCGACATTTTAATAGCCACAATGGAGAAGTTGTTGGAAAAACTGATGGAAATAGCAGAGATGGCAAAATTGACTGCTTTAATTAAAGAAAAGGTGACACACAACATTGTTTCTACTTGGAAACCACAGCTGGATTTTGTTCTTGAGATAGAAAAAATGAAACTTAGACTGAGTTTTATTGATTACATAAGTTTGTTGTTATAGAATTTGCATATTAAATTTGTAAAAATAAAAAAAGTTGAGCCTGTAATATTTCCATTTTATGTGACTATTAAAAAATAAGAAGTCAATTATATTCTTTCTTTTTTCCCCTTTTCCTCTTCATTTCTTTCTCTTCTCTTCCCTTCCCTTCCCAACCCCAACTTCCTACTATACAAAGGATACAAAAATTTGATCGTATTGTTTTTTATAGTCAACTCTTCCTGGAGGCCCAAAAGGAAACCCTCCCACCTGCAACTCAACCTGCTCCTTCTTCTCCTCCGCCTGGCTCAGCAGGAAGCCTTCCACCAGGGCCACCGCCTGGGAGCTGGTCTCTGCTCCACACTCTCGCACCCAGCTCTGCATCTGCAGGGGAAGAAGCGCCAGGAACTGCTCCAGAACAACCAGGTCCAGCATCTGCGCTTTCGTGTGCTTTTCTGGTCTCAACCATTGATTACAAAAGTAGTGGAGTCGGCTGCAAAGTCCTCGGGGACCTTCATCCTCCTGATATTGGATGCTCCTAAAATTCCAGGCATGAGGTTGTGAAGCGATGGTTAAATCTTCCAGCATCTTCTGCCCAGTTCTTGCCCAGATCTCCCCATGGATTCCAGACTGAGCACCAGAAGGGCTTTTTCCGGTTCCCCCACTTGCTAAAGGAAGGCTTGCCATTCTTTCTCTGTCCTGTAACACAATTCCAAATGGGTGCAATGAAACCTGTGTATCTCCAAATGCTTTTTCATTCATAGCAATGTTCACCTAGCCATGGGAATACCAGAACAAGCCATTAAGCCCTCTTTGCCAAAGAAATAATGTTGTCTCTAAAGAAGATGCACAAATGACCTCCATTTTGTGACTCTCTTATAGAAAAAAAGAATATATTCAAATAAGCAGAATGTAGTGGATTGGACCCATTCATCAAGACTCATCCCCATAGAATTAATATTTTCTGAGCTTGTAATATGATTACTTCCATCAAGAAGATTCAGTGCATATGGAATTTGGGAACATTTTGATTTGTTTTCACTCTGAAGAGAGACTTACTTTTTAAAAATCTATATTTACTTATAAACAGGGTTCACCCAACATACAAAAACCAGAACAGGTTAACAAAGCATGAAACTTCAATTCCCATAAAATGAAATGCCAGTCAGTTGACCCTGGTTTAAGATGCTGGTTTCACTATCTTCCTAAAACAAAATGAACTGCAGGGGATCCAAACCTAGTTTAGTGTCATCCAGCACACAGTGAGAATGTAGGCATAATCTTTTGCCTTTCTACCTTGCAAACACACTTCTTATTTCTTGCTTGAGATCTGCCATGCAAGCTCTCCCCCCTCCCCCTCCCGAACCAGGAATTTCCCAGGAAATGGGGTGTGAAGGACTATCCAGATCACCCCCTCTCCCCTCTGTGGAAGTGGACTTAGTCCTGAGGGCAACATGCGTGTTCTGGAACTCTGCGTTTCCCTGTGCCTGCTACAATCATGGAAAAGGGCATTTTTAAAAATATAGATGTACATTTACCTATAAGCAAGGTTCATGCAACATACACCGTACAAAAACCCAGAACAAGTTAACAAACCATGAAAATTCAGTTCACAAAAAATGAAATGACAGTCATTTGACCCTGCTCTTTCTTTCTTCACCCAGGTGGGCAGGTTCACACAAGGTGTCCTAAGCACAAACAGGTCAATCAAATCCAGGGGCTCAGTTCACACAAAACATATAGGGTTAAAAGCATTACAGCTTAACAGAAGGACCTGGTTCAGTACCTTCCAAGCACAAATTGAGTTGCAAGAGGCTCCAAACCTAGTTTAGTTTCATCCAGCACAAGGTGAGAATGTAGGCATAATCTTTTGCATCTGTTCCTTTCAAAATTGTTTTTGTTTCCTGCTTGAGTTTTGCCATGCAAGCTCCCCGTCTCCCCTACCCTGGAGCTTTCCCCACAAAATGGGGCCTTAAGGACTATCCCTTTCCTTTGGGGGATCTGGAATACTTCCTGAGGGCAGCATGCATCTTCTGGAGTTTTGCTTTGATCCCTGCCTGTTACAATCCTAGAAAAAGGTGACAGGGCAACATGGGATCTGGGATCTCCCACTCCTAAGATTGACTTGGTATATATCTTTTCCTTCTCTAGTGCGAGAACCCTCTGCCTTTCATTGCATAGGACACACACATACACACATACATACCCTTGCCACCTTCTCTTTCCTTCAAGACTTCCTTTCAGCCTTTTTAACTGCCTGTGAAGCTTAAAGGGTTAAAGAGAGAGAGTCCAGCATCCTAGAAAGGCAAGACGTAGTGATGTCACTGCCTTCCCAGCTTGCAACAGTGGCCCAGCACAGAAATGGGTGGTGTTCCTTTCTCTTTGCAGAGGGAGCCCCCTAATGGATTTTCTGTGCGCGGAAGAGGCTCATGGAAAAAAAAGAGATGGTGCATTTCCCATGCAGGGCCAGGAGGGGACTCCCAGGTTTCCCTTGATCAGGTAAAATAAAGTAGGAAGTAAAGTAGGAAGAATTGCTCTATAGAATACAGAGATGAAATCACAGGTGGTATTCAGCAGGTTCTGACCAGTTCTGGAGAACCGGTAACAGAAATTTTGAGTAGTTTGGAGAACTGGCAAATACCACCCCTGACTGGAGATTTTACAGCATCCTTCCCCTGCCATGCCCACCAAGCCCCGCCCAGAGAACCGGTAGTAGAAAAATTTGAATCCCACCACTGGATGAAATGGTTGCGATCTCTATGGGGAATAGGAGGATCTTATATTGCCTTCTGAATTGTCCTTACCTGGATCTCCCTGAGAAATCCCATTCAAAAAAACAGTTCTTGGGGGAGATTTGATGGAAGCCTCTGTAGAAAGTTAGCACCCACCCCTCTCCTAGAAGAATGAAGTATTCTAGAAAATATTAAAAAGGCAGAATATTGTGCCTACCTGGATGAGAAAAGGAGAAACATGCTCTTGGAAAGCAGCCCCCAACTTTGCTTAATAGCCTCAGAAAAACTGAACCATATTATCTACAACACAAAAGATCTTCATCTCCACGCAGGGGTGAGATTCAAATTTTTTAACAACCAGTTCTGTGGGCGTGGCTTAGTTGGTGGGTGTGGCTTGGTGGTCATGTGACTGGGTGGGCGTGGCTTGGTGGTCATGTTATTGGCTGGGCATGGCCAGCTCAACATCACTCACATCAAGGCACGCATCTCCTCGCCTGGCCTCTCATGACTGTGGGGATACTGCAACAGTCGTAAGTGTGAAAAATGGTCATAAGTCACTTTTTTCAGTGCCATTGTAACTTTGGTCACTCCACACAAGCAAAGTACCAGCAAAGGAGGGGGAAAAAACTCAAGAGATGCTCCTGAGACAGGAAGTCTAGTCCTGCCAAGAATGTAATAAGGATTAACGGAGAGGCAGTTTCTGTAAGCAACACCAGAATGTTTCCTTCCTGCCTTCCTTACAGGATTAGGCCAGTAATTTCTTCTAACAACCGGTTCTCTGAACTGCTTAGAATGTTAACAACCAGATCTAATGAATAGGTGCGAACTGGTAGAATCCCACCCCTGGATGTGACTATAACTAGGCGGGCATGGGGGAGGTTGCTCAGTAGTCACAACAGAAAATTGTTAGCAAGACAGGATTTGGAGCATCATTTAAATGATGGAATCTAAGCTACTTCTATAAAGGAGAATATTTGTATTTCAGGGTTGACATGAGGGGTCCTTGGTGCCCTCTGAGCTTGGCTGTTTTCTTGTCAATGTTTCATTACCCAAACTAGATAACATTATCAGTGTTAGCCAGGACTAGCACTGATGTTGTTACCTAGTTTGGGTAATAAAACGTCTGCAAGAAAACAACCAAGTTC